GTAGTAGTAGTACTTGGCTGGCTGATGCGCCTGCACCAGGACGATGGTCTGCCCAGTTCATTCCCCTGACAAACGTGTCCTGCCGAGGGCATGCACTCCCGGTCAAAGAAGAACATTTGGACTGCTCCTCCCCTACCAAGAACTATGTGGGTATCAAACATGCATTTCTTGAGTTCAAGATATTTTAGACAAAAAAGCTGGACTCAGGGAATGTCTTTTTGTATGGCTACAGATGGGTACAGTGACGGCTGCGCTATTGATCTAACAAGATTGCGCCTGCTGGCCTGCTGGACTGCCCCGTGGCACCAGCCACATGCATCAAACACGACGCGCGTGCCTCCCGTGGACACACCCATGTGGCTGTACGAAATCAAAGATTTTACTCACTTCACACAAGCAAAACTCCAACTGCGAGTGCGAGAACTTGAGTATCTCGTCAGCCGATTTGATCAGCGCGGCGATCAACTTCTTATTCTGCTTGACTGTGGGCTGGATGCCTGCAAGCCGGTCCTAAGCAAACGCCAGATGAAAAGATTGCGTTTTGCAGCCCCAAAACATGTTCAGTCAAGCTGTCAGTTCTTATGGATAAAAACAAATGACAGGCAAAGAAAGCAAAGCTGGAACTAATTCAGAGTAAAGCTACTCTCCTGCTGGATGAGCCGCCTGAAGCGCTTCATGTGTAGAGGAGACTGGTCATAGTTACACATAACATCAACCCATGCCTGCGAGCCAGCATGCCTGCCTTTCCATTCTCCGGCTAGCAAATTGGCGCCCATGCAGGCGCCAGGACCCATCAATGCTCCCGGCTCCTTGACCCATCCTGGAAGCCCCTGTCGGTGGGACGCTTGCTTGTGATGTAGCTCAAGTAGCGAAAAAGTATTCCGCCCTAGCAGCACGGACAGCCTGCTTGCGCAAGCCAGTGCCAGCGTCCGCCTGGAGACTGCTGCGCGGCCGGGACCACCTTTGATGGCGCCCTCCCTTTGCTTCAGGTGGAATTGCCAAACTTTCTTCTTGCGGGCCTCAACCAACTTGGCGGTGGCATTGTTGTGGGCCCTTTGGTCAAAAGACTCGGTGAAGAGGTCTGCAAGCCTGCCTGGCCTGTAAGTGTGGCCATCGGAGCTTCTCTTAAAGATGTGAAGAGGCTGCAGAATGTCTTCTTTACAGCTGAATTTCCAGTGGCCATTGGTGTTCTTTGCGCAGAAAGCTTTTGTTTGAGGTAAACCAATTCCTAAGAGGAATCATTATATGTGTGTATATCCAAGCAGACATCAGTGACATCGTGTGGATGCCAAGTTTGCAAAGTTTGATCCCGCTTTGCTACGACAGCGCCGAAAACAGAGAGGCATTGGAAACAGAGCCCTAACAACTAGCTATTTATCAAAACAGCGATTTTTTCTGGTCGTTCAGGCAATCGGTCGCCAGGGTCGGTCACCAGAGAGGTCTAGGGAAGGCAACGGAAAAGAAACCAAACCAACCCCACAGGATCGGTCGTCAGAATCGGTCGCCTCTTCTTCCTCCTCTTCGCCTTCTTCTCCCTCTTCTTCTTCCTCTCCCTCCCCCTCTTCTTCTTCCCCCTCTTCTTCTTCCTCTCCCTCCTCTTCTTCCTCTCCCTCCTCTTCTTCCTCTCCCTCCTCTTCTTCCTCCTCTGAAAGCAAACCAAACCAATCACCCCGGATCGATCGCCAGGATCGGTCACTAGTGATGCTATAGTTCCTAGTCGCTGATCCGGAGGGGGGTGTTGGTCGCTGATCCGGGAAAGTTGGTCGCTGATCTGAGAAAATTGGTCGCTGATCCGGGAAAATTGGTCGCTGATCCGGGAAAAGTGGTCGCTGACCCAGCAGTCGCTGATCCTGGTCGCTGATCCGGACCCTCAGTCGCTGATCCGACGTTTATCCCTCCGCGCCTCGCTCCCGCTGTCTCCGCGCCAGCTCTTCTCGCCGTTGAGTCCTGGAAGAACACGCCGTTCGGAACCCATGGGGGCCTGTGGATGCCTTCGAGAATAAACAGAAAAAGACAGGAACCAGTTGGACGTTGGGGGCTAAAAGACTCAGTTTGAGCAGCTGGACATGTTCCTCAGAGTTGAAACACTTCAAGTGACCTTTGAGAAGGCAATCCAGCGCCCCTCGCTGATTGTTCATGGCCACTGTGATCCACATCCCCATTTTTCTGGCTAGATTTGATACATGGTGAAGGATGGAGAGCTTCCAGAGGAATATGAAAAGGTCTAGCCGAGTCTAGCCCGAAGGGCTCCCATCCTTCCATTGACTGTGCATTTGCTCCATATCAGCCTTGTTTCTCACTGGGTTTTGCTGATCCACCTACACAAACCGCCCTGTCCTGTACGCCAAGCGCACCTCATCGGCCACCTTTGTGGGGACCACCACCTGTGCGCGGCGACCCGGCAGGAGAGGAGACGCGACCTGTTTGGCTTCAGGAAGGAGTCCCACTTTCACCCATCCAGCCAAGCTTATTGGAGTAATTAAGCTAAGCCAAGCTACCCCAAGCAGGGGGCACCTGTTTGAGCGGCACAGAGAGAGAGAGAGAGAGCGGGGAGGAGGCTCCCAGCCTTCACGAGCTCTCCTTCGTTGTAGAGGACCGACACCGTGTCTCCCGACCTCGGCAGCCGCGAGGCGGCTTCCCGCGGTAAGGGGACGAGGTCCCAACGGGCGAGAAGTGCAAGTCAAAGAAGCGACCCAAGAAACGGCAGCCAGTCACAATAAGTGAGTGTTTGCCCATCAAAACAACACAAATATGATCAAGATACCACTTGGAATGATGCGTCCTGTTGAAATTCAGAAGCGCCCGGCACTGCTGAAGCTCCTCTGGCGAGAAACACCATGGCCCTCAGCCACCGGTCCCCCCACTCGCGCAGTCCAAGGCGCTCCAAGAGATGAAAGGCATCCCCCAGCTGCTGGGACGTCACCCCCACCTCGCAGACCCACAGCGCGCGCCGTGGGAGGGCGAGGTTTTCCAAAAACGTAGAAAAACCAGCTACAAAAGCTCGGGCATAATACATGGGGTTCTTTCCTAAAAGATCACAACGACCAAAACCTCTGGCACTTCGACGACCCCATGTGGCCAGGGCCGCCAGGGTTCCTCAAATCGGCCAGGGTTCGTCCAATGGTCCAGCACTTCGTTTCGGGCCGAAGCGCCGCGCGGCGCTGCGCCTCGTTGTACTCCGCATCGGCCAGGACCAGTCGCTCTGAATCCTGGAGGATGAGATGGAAAGGGTGGAGATGGCTGGGATTTTAACAAATCCAAGCAGGTAATTTGAGTTGATTCACCCATGTCCTGCATCTTTCGGAACCATTGAAAGTTACACATACCCCGGAACCAGATCTTCACAATCAAAGGGCATGAGGGGTAGCTGCAAACCAACCAGCAACTCTCCCAACCCAGGTCAGGCCACGGCCTGCAGAATCGACCGGAGCGGGAGATGAAGCTGATTCCCTCCTCCCTTCTTGTCCCCTCTGTCCGAACCACGTGTCTCGAGCCTCGATTAACATGATTCACGAGGAAAGCACACCAGCGTCCCCAAATGACCTTTTACAGGTCTGTGACAGTGACCCTCAATCCCTAGGGATCCAGTTCGATCACTTGGTTCGGAACCAGGCACATGGACGTGTCTGTGTGTCAGGCTTGTTTGGTCCGGTGTGTTTCTGGATCTTTTCGGAAAGGGATCCGTTGGGATGGCAGCGATGGGATGGCAGGGATCGATTGGGATGGCATGCATCTTCCGAATCTTCCTTTGATCTGAACAATACCACACACTGATGGTCGCCGATGTTCGACTCCCAAGCGTGGCATGACTGACACATCTCACTGACACCACCCACCTATGTAAGATGAAACACATGGGTGTGTATTTTTAATAGGGAGATCCTCAACCAAGGGGAGTTCTGTTTTGATCCTTCTTCCAGGGGGTCCAACTGGGATTGGAGACCAAAAGGTCTTTGGGATGGTCTACACTCACCTTTTGAATACACTCACCTCTTTCTCCCGACGCCCGACGCCTTGTACAGCACCGGCATGCTCACTCGGTCGCAGTCGATCACCGTCAAATGCTCATTCTGCGAAGATCAGGCCGTTGAATCGACCGCGAATCGACCGCTCTGCGGGCGAAGACGTTTCTCATTTGAAAGACTTGGACACAAATCCCAGACACGACCCATGGGACTAACATATGCCGATCAATTGACCCCCAGTCAACCACCCCAATGTAGGCATATACGGCATACATGGAGTGTATGGGAGTGAGTTATGGATCTTCCGACCTTCATGGAGTCAGGGTCAGCTGGCTGGTTTCGCCCCCCACTACGATCAGGCACCGAACAAGCCAGGACACCCCGAAAGAAGGTCCAGGTTATGGATAGTTCATATTAAATCAACTGATCCCTAGAAGTCAAAGACCATTTTAAAAATGGTTGATCTGGTTTTGTAGTGTAAAACCCTTAGTGAAACAATGGTTGTTCAGCAAAGGCTATTAAAACAATGGTGGTTCGACTTCTAGGGGATTGCATCACCCATTTCAAGGCGTCGGTCGGGTCCTGCGGGTGGGGTCGAGGGTCGAGGGATCTTGAACAAGCGAAGCAGCGAAGCGAAGCATCGAGCTCGGGCGCAGATCCGGAATTGGAAGGGAATCCAGAAGAATTCAGCTGCAAAACGGTGTTTCTTGCACAAATCGTTCTCCTGCAAAGGTTTGAAGCCAAATACACCACTGAAGACCTACTGTAGGTGAAAATGATGTCAGCCGCGTGGCTGGTCTTGCCCCATCGCTGGTCTTGCCCCGCTGCTTCGGCCCGGTGGCTCCCCACCTCCTTCAACTTCATCTCGCGCGCCTTCCGGGTCGGCAGCTCGCGGAAGCGCACCTGGCGGGGAAGCGAAGCGACTCGGCTGGCGGACAGGGTCGGGCTTTGGTGTCGGGTGAAACCCACACGGTAGGTGAAAAGAGGGCACGCATGGTTCGTTCTAAGGCTAAGGAGGCTAAGCGGCTAAAACCCACAAACCCACAGGTGTTCAGAAGTTTCTTCCTGTTTGTCACTGGCTTTGGTACCCTCTTGAACCAAAAAGGGTTTGGAGAAGGACCCGAAGACCGCCTACGGCCTACAGCTGCCATGTTCTGAACTTCCCCGAAACCATGGCTGTCAAGGCCAAGCGGACCTGTGGCATTGCGCACGTTAAACTACGCCATGTCTGGCAGGATCAAGGCGAGCGCATGTACTGATTGACCCAGGCAGCCAAAACGCTTTTCATGGGGTGCATCCATGTCAATCCAGGACCCGGTGGAGGCAGATGTGGCCTGCTTGTAGGCCGACATCCATCTCTAACATAGTGATGTTCTTGTTGGCCGACTGTTACATATCATGTAATTAAAGGTAATAGGACAAACCCAAGGTGTTCAACTATACCAGTACCCTGAGTGGTCCATGCCCCCAAAAGGAGGTCATTGATTCGCTCGCGTCGGGCTGTGTGGTGATGGTCCTCCCAACCTCCGCCGCTTCACTCCCTCGAGCCCCGAGACCCGACGGTCACACCGGCACCTGGTCATCCACCCAGTCAGAAGAACTCACTTCGAAAACATTGGCCAAACTGCAAAAAACCCTCCCAGTCAACAAGCCCATCCAACCACCTCTTCTCTCAGTCCACCAGCAGTTATTCTCAACCCGTAAAAACACCAGTGCCACCGGTCCCGTTCACCTCTCGCCTGGTACATGGCATCGCTCACGCGTCCCCGGCCGGTCAGCTGAGAGCTCCGGACCTGATCGTCGAAAATTCCCAGGGAAGCCACTCCGGTCCGACACCTGACGGAGGTAACTCCAACCTCAGAATGAAACCCAGCAAGGTGAACACTATGGGTGAACAGGAAAGCTATATACAAGGATCTACAACGAACTCCAGGTCAGCCGGCAGGTTCAGCTGAAGAAGCTCATGGTCACTCTGGCCAGTAGAAGCTTTGGGTGGAAGGAAAACCCCCTGCACATCCCTTTTGATTACCGAATCACGGATGGAGAAGTGCTGTCCAAGACCTGGTCATCCTCTGAGACCGTAGAGTTTTTGCTACACCAACGAGAGGATGCGGCTGAATACCGAACAAAATTTTCCAGACTGAGCAGACTGAGCTCCAACGCCCACCGGCCCTTTTGCTTCACCGTGATAATCCCTTTGCAGCGGCTACTGCCCTCTATCCCACAATCCTGGAGGTGGGAGAGTATGATTCTTGGAAGACCAGCTTCCTCGAATGGATAGTGTTTGCACTTCCATGCTTGTTGGAGGGAGGGTAGTTTGTTGAAACTCAAGCAATTCCATAGCCAAGGGCATTTGATAATTTTGGCTTCGACCTACACAAAATCCAGATCGGAAGTACAGCTGTGGACAACTGCAAGACGCCCAGTATGACGTTGATGCCCTGAAAGCCATGCTGGTGTGCCAGAGCCGCCAGTGGTTGCACCATTAAGTTGCAGAATCCTGCGATGGTGTTCATCAGCCCAAAGACCCTCCCGAAGACCTCCTGCCCAAAAAGCCGCCCGCAGATCATGGGGTTCAAAGTGTACAAGAGCGGCCGACAAAAGGCAAAGCACACGAAGCCCGCGCGCGCCAAAGCATCTCCGGTGGTCCCAGTGCCAATGGCAAAGAAGGCCACCAGGAGGAGAGTAAAGGCTGCATAGGCACACTGCAAGATCAAATAGCCCAGGGGTTCCCCCACCTTGTCAATCACCGTGCCAATGAGGGGCGCAAACAAGATGCCTCCGAGGGGCAGCAACCGGGAGAACTCGCGGTTCAGGCTTTCGGCGTGCGACTCCGAAGGCACCACCGAGAGCATCTGCGGGTAGGCCGTGGCGATGAAGAAGTTGATGGAGGTCATCGACACCGAGGCCTTGGCCGAAAGTCATAGGGACGATGTTCCGAGTCCATGCAAGTGGAGATGTTAAGTGAACTTATAGGACCTGACTGGGCTACCTATGGGATAGTCGAACAGTCGGGTCCTTGAACCTCTGTTGGTGATGTTCCCAGTCCATGATGTCTTGTTGGCAGCAACTTGTCGGAGTTTCCATGATGCTCCATGGTTTTTCTATGTCCCCTTTTGAAGCTGAACTGCCGAGTCTTGAAAGCTAACTACCACACAAAAGTGTACCGCATGTGGAACCACACGTACTGCCAACCCAAGAGAAGCAAGGATATCCATGTGCCATCAGGCAGGTGACCAGAGACCGTAATTCAATCGTAGACGATCTCTTAATAAAAGCTCCCAATTTCAAGCTTCAGGAACCGCATAGGTCAGTAACCAGAACTCCGTGCTGCTCCAGACGTTCCACAAGCTCTGCTTCATCAAAGGCTCCTCGATGTGCTTCTGTGCTTCAAAACTATGCACTCTCAAGCACTTCCAAACAAGAATCACGCAACAAAGGTGATCCTTTCATCCAAAAAAAAAAAGAAACACGGCATCTTATTCAGGTCAACAGGGCCAGGGACTCAAGGACCCTTCAGATCCTTTTGCTTGGGGACTTCACGGGCGTGGCAACCCTTAGACTCTGGACCCCCCTTCTCCCTTGGACTCAACGCTGCAGACCCGCCTTCGGCTGCACCGCCCCCCTTTGGCGACACCGGCGTGTCCCGTACCACGCACGCTCCTTCACCGAGGGCTCCGCCTCTGGCGAGGCGTCCTCGTCCACCTTCCGGTCCGGCCAGGCGCAGGTGCTCGCGGCGCACAGCAGCGCCAGCAGCGCCAGCAGGCGAAAGGCCGTCGAGAAGGCCAGGCCTCGCGGGGTCCGGACTGTCACGATGCGCGGCTCAGGCAGCGAGTTTGGTGGCGTGAGAGACGAAAGCCTGCCCAAAGCTGGGAAGGGGTGCACCACCCAAATGGGATCAGGTGACTGGTCATGTGGCGGCATCTGGAAAACATGGGAAAACTATGGATCTTCCACTCTTCTGAAGCAAACTTCCAATCCTCACTTCTTCTACAAAGCTCCGAACGATCAGTGACACCTGGAAACCCGAGCCAATCGGCCCATCTCTGAGGTTGTATTCGTTCCATCCACTCCAACCACTCCATCCGAGGACGAAAAAAAACACAGCTCTGCACCCCCTCCAAAAAGAACAACACAAAAAGGTGGACAAACAAACACACAAACCAAAGAACCTCCGAAATCGTTGTGCCATCGAACCTCGGTCCCAAACGCCCGGTCCTGCGTCGATCAAGGAGTTCAGAACGGCAAAGTCGCCCGAGGACGCGTCGAAGCAGCCGACCAGGATGGCGGTGATGAGCCCGGAGCGTGCGGGGAAGTAGTTCCCGAAGCTTAGGGTACAGTTGAAGATGTAGGGGCCACTCACTCCTCTGGGATGACACCGGATCTGGGATCTGTAGAGGTTTGGGGAGATTTTGTCCGGAGTCAGCTTGCTTTTCTTTTGTCATGGCAAGTACAACGAGCTTTGTGATTCTGTATGCAGCTTTTCCAAGCTTTAACTAGAAGCTTGGAGGGGGGTTGCTTGTTCATTCAGAGGCTCACTTTGGGTTCCAAAGTTTCTGGTGTGATCATCTGCTTTGAAAGCAACCACTACTTCAACCTGCATGTCACCGGCTGGGATGCATATTGGACTTGCTGTTTGGACTCTGGACGCCCCAAATCTTCAATAGCGGAAGAGGAAGAGGAGGCGGAATGCAAGGACAACATCAAGAACTGGGTATATAGCTATATGATATACATATATACTTGCTACCGACCCTCTCCATCCAAACCTGAAACGAAAAGTTCATCCCCTGGCCATTTCCCAGCTTGGGCTTGTGCCAAGCGCACGAGATCGGCCCCGTCTCCTAAGAGGATGAATCCAACGTAGTAGTTCACATCTGAACCCAGCGAGAAGAGCCAACACCCCAGGGCGACGAAACAACAAAAAGATCCGGCCGTCACACGTGGACCCAGGTAGTCCAGCATCGCTCCAGATGGTAAAGTGAGAATGTTCAACAACGAGGACGTCAACGTAAACATGCCCGTCAGGCGTGAGATTTGCGCCTGGCAGGAGGTGCCAGCATGGTTCTCTGGACAGACCTGGTGGAAGGCGCCTATTCTCAGCAAGTTTGGCATCAATGCACTGAATCCAAAGGCAAGGCCAGCCATCAGCAAACAACAACCAATAGCTGAAACGATGATGACGATCCTCCAAGTTCGGCCCATCTCGCTGTCTCGTCTCTCATTCTGACCAAGCATTCCAGGTGGCGCGATGGGATATGAAAGGTTCGGTATCAGAACTTGGAGCCGAATGCCAGCGGCATTCACTTGGGTGAATGATTGGGTGTCCCCATCATCTAGCACCATGGTCATGGGGTCGAAATACAGACCCGGGACTACCCTGTTCTGCAAGTGTTCCAAAGAGACGATCCAAACAGTGCTGCTACTCCGGGAATGTGCTCTTTGGCACCCTACATCTCCTCCTTGCACCAGGTGTCTCGAGGAAACATGGAAAAACGCCGCGGAAAACCCACGCCCCCAACCTCACAGTAGACACCTGGCACCGGTGGGGAGCGGCGACGGTCGTCGCTTTGAGGCGAGGGTGGGGGGGCGGTGGGGCGGTGGAGCACACCCCTGGGGAGCCCAGTGAAAGCCAAGTCTTTGATCACCTCATCTTCAGTCCTAAGCACCCAAATAGGTGGAATGACCCAGGGACCCATGCCATGACCCCGAAGTCGAACCAAATGTGGCCAGATGGCAACACAACACACGTCTCTAAGCAGTCGACCCAAAAAGACACGTCGTTTCGCGACACAAAAAAGCTCTCCACCTTTGTGCTGAAAGATGTGCCCCTGCTGCAGGTCGCCGGAGGGTATCCGTGACTGGGCGCAGCGAGCACAGAAGACCGGCGTCGCACAGTTAGGCGCGTGAGTTGGGGGTGGGGGTTGGAGCCAGTTTTGATTCAGAGGGGAAGAGAGGAAGACTGCCCTTCAACCAAGCTGGAAGTCAAACTCGGTGATGGGGGGGAGTCCCCTTTTTGAGACTCTCATCATGGAGGCCACTAAGAAATTTCTGGGTGGGAAGGTCATGGGAATCTTTTCCTGGATAGTCGCCCCAGTCTGTCACTGACTTTTGGAGAAAACCCCGAACCCATATATCAAAAGTCCCATCAGGCACTGGACAAGCAGTTCTTGAACTTCTGAAGTAGGAGCAATCTTCAAGGGCAGCGGACTCCAACGAAAGGGGTCGGCCGATCTTGGCTTTCCGGGACCCCACGGACTCCAACATGGAAGTGGTGACACCAACGGCTTATTGTAGAAAAGTGGTCTTGGAGGGGCCGAACTCTTCCACGTAACCATGGTTCTTTCAGGGAGTGCACAAACTGGACTGGAAGAATGATGTCCTTTTGGGAATACAGCGATGGGGTCAAAACCAGGAGAGCGACCGGGAGAGCCGACCGACTCGTTACAGGTCGTTAGAGGTCGTTCGTTTGCGCAAAAACAGGGTGGACCGGATTCTTGGCAGTTTTGGACCTATCCCCATCTGGTGATTTAATTGGGGGTCTCCCCTCTACCAATCTTCGAACCAACAGTATCAGCGGTGCATGGCTTGGATTCTTCTCCCACGATAAAAAATTCTCCTCGACCCGCAGAACTCGTTCAGCGGAGAGAACCACTGAAATCTGCAAACTTCAAAAACTTGAAATCTGCAGTGCTTGATTCTTGATTGAAACAGTTGTTGCAAGTTTCTGAAGTCTGATTGAACTATCGAAACCGTTGAAGCCCAGCGTCGCTTGAAGCGAAATCTCTGCAGTTTGCATATGGCACCCTTCGCAGATGGCACCATCCGGGTCCACTGGTGAAGGCGCGGATGGTGATTCTCTGCATGAGTGCATGGCACGAAAGTGCGTGGCTGGAACCGGTTTTGTAATGGATCCCTGCCAGTACGTGTATAATATGGATACATTCTTCATGGGTTAATTGTAAACTCAGTAGCAAGCCGGTGCAACTGACTGAAAATTTCGGAATATACCGTATATACCATACCCGCTTGTCTCTATGGTTTCTAGCACTTTGCTGAATCGACTTTGAGAAGAACCCAAGAAGAAGCCCTTCTGGCAAGGCTAATTGCAAGGACTGCTGCTACCCTACCAAAAAAAACCTGGTCCATTTAGGTCTAGTGACAGCTGAAAACAGCTCCTCCCGATGATGCTTCACACATCCACAGTCCCACAAAGCCTCCCCTCATTGCGTCTAAAGAGAGGGCTCAAAAGCACCAAATGTCTGCTCTCCATAGCTGTTTTTCGCGGTGCACAGTGACTCAGTCCAGTTGAGGAAGCTCACAAAGAGTTCCATTCGACTATCCCCACGTTTCTTCGAGGAAGTGTTCAACAGCGGCTAGAGATCTCTGTCCAAAATGTTTGTCTGAAAAAGACTGGGTCTGAAAACAGGTGACGACAACCGGTGGTTGGAAAGGCCACCATCTCTGAATCATATTGAATCATAACATACCCCAAGACTCCCGGCCGCCACTTCCCCCCGTTCTCAAGCGCTTTGTTGAATCAACAAGTCCCACCCACCGGACTTGCAAAGCTTCTTTTCCTCTGTCATCTGCACCAGCCAGTCTGATCCTGTGGTCTGACCTGCCAACGAATGGCCAGACATCCCACATGGCAGAATATGTCGCACCCACATCATCCTGTACCAAACCCTCTTGGGTAGGCCCAATCCCCAATTGAAACATTTAATCCACAAGCTCCTTTCTCCCAATTGCCTTCAGTTTGGCAGGCGCCCCTTACATTCGTTCAACATCGCCACCAGAGGTCGGCCCGTCACACCTCATCCAGATCCAGTAACTTCTTCAAAAAGACTTCTCGACCACACCCGCTCTCCCCCCGCTCTCGGCCTTCCTTTCATCGCACCTCTGCCATGCACCAGCGCACCTTCCACTGGAAGGCCTTCGTGGTTGGCTCGGTTTTGGGCTGGCTCGGGGTCAGCTCCTTGATCTCCCTCAGCTTCTCAAAAGGACCATGGAAGTGCCAAAAAGAACACCTCCGATCGGAGGCTCCAGGTCTGGTTCTCTCAGAACTTCACTCCTTTCGCCTTGACCTTCACTCCTTGACGGACCTTCGTATTGGGAGTCATGAACTGCACCGGATTTTTTCTGAATCACCACAGGAATCATGAACCAATGCAACAAAGTACGTGAACAAAAACTCTGAAGCACGTGCGAACCCTCGAATTCTTTGTGACATAAACCTGCGGGGGAAACTAAAGCTCCTATGGATTGAATAAAAGTAATAGGAATCTGTCATGCGGTCAAACCTTGTGTTTTCTCACCCCTCTTCCAGGCACGGCTACACTGACCTCAAGGTCCCTGTGAGACTCCTGGAAGCATCCTCTCCAAGCGGGTCCAAGTATCATGTCGAACAAACATACCAGCCTCCCATCTACTGGGTAGAGGACTTAGAATATCACAAAAGCAAGGTTGAACCATTTCCTAGGGAAATCCTAACGAGGATGTCAGTGGATGTTGGTGCCTTGTATCCAAAGCTCGACGCTTCTTCCAACCCAAAGCTCGACGCTTCTTCCAATCAGAGCTGCCTATGCGAGCAATCAGCTCCAGTGTTAAGTTGCAGCTTTTTTCCCAAATGGAACCATTCGACAGCATACATCCACAAACTGAAGACGGGGAGGTGACTCAATCACACCTTGCATGGTGTGGCGACCAGCCGCCGATGTAAAGCCTTGGACTTGGAAACACAAAACACCACACATGGCCGACTCAACCTGTGGCAAACTGCCTGCTTGCAAGGAGTGCTCCTATGCGGTACTCAGCCCGAAGTCCCCATTGGAAAGAACAAAGAGAATGCACAAATAAGTAGTATGTAGGGTGAAATTCAAGCCAACAAGCCTGTTCACCGATGCCGTGAGGAGTCCTCAGAAGGAATCAAAGGCCTCGGCCTGGCAGCAAAAAGAGCCGGTGAAGTGTGTTGACGATGATGCCCAATGCACAAGGGTTTTGATCTCGCAGTTTCCTCTTTTCCTCGACTCCACCTGTTTCAGTCAACTCAAACTCATGACTCATGAGTCTCCATGCAACGGATAGATCTGTGAGAAGGGGCATTGACTGTCACTCCAAGGCCCCTGGCCCAGCAGATATCAAGAAGGCACAGCCTGTGAGCGCTTGTGGCTCACTGGCTTATTGCCCAAAGCGAGCACTTGCTGTCATTCCTTCAGCAGGAAACCCTTTAAAGTTCCATATTACAGTGCCTATAGCAGCTTGAAAAACTATCAATGGCTTTTTTCACTCAGTCTCCCCAAGCTGCTGACAAGTCAAAAAAGGCTTTTTTGTTCCATTGTTTCTTCAAGCAGCCCAAAACGTGCATGAAGTTCCTCAAATTCTTTCTTCGAGTCAGTATCCATTATGGCCCCAGACTGCTGCACCTCTCGCAGCAGCTTTTCCTGCTTCTCAACACGCCTCCTGGCTGTGTCCTTGATACAGTCAAGCTCACTGGCAGCAACACTTCGCGCCCCTTCAATGCAGTGCCCCCAGTTTGCATGAAAGCGTGCTTTGATATAATCTATACCTACAACTCTCTGGTTGACCCTTCCGACAAGGATAGACTCGCAAGCCAAAAACATCATGGCTGGGAGGGGTATGTACGGCGCGAACACGCCCCACGCCATGTATGGGGCGCGGAATTGATAGGCAGCAATGCCCACTTCTCGCCAGAGAAGAGTGAATAACCCTTGAAGCACTTCGGAAAATCGTGCACTAGCCATCGCATCGTTGCAAAGCATTGTGCTCACTGCTTCAGCAACCGCCCTGTCAGCTCCTCTAAAGTCAGGGCTTCCACAAAATTTATGTACCTCGTGTGTCCTGAGAACTGCCTCAAGATGGTCTTCTCTTTTTCTCTCTAAGATTCTGCGCAGCTCCGTTGTTCTCTGCTCTACCTTCCGCTCTAGCTCTTGCTCCATGATTGCCTTGGCTCGGTTCAAGGCATGCCTCATTTTGCGCAACTCAACTTGCCTGCTCTCACCTTCCATACTTGCTAACTTGAACAATGCCATCACCGTCGCCACTGATTGGAAGCTCTTGACCATGCGACTGGCTTTGAGTCGTGTCAGAGCCCTGCGAACTTCCGCCTGCACCGACTGCCACTTTGACTCTCCTTTTGCGAGGACTGCTTTGTCCTTACTCACACGATCCGACATGGACACGTCCATGACTTTTGGAGTGCAGTAATTGCTGGCATCTGTCTTGATGTCTGAAATCAAATCATCCTAGTTTGGAGTCTCTTCTTCGCTGTCCAAAGGGTTCCGCGCGACTTCTATGTCACACTTGTTCACCACAAGCAGAAGCTTCTGGGACAATTCCGTCCAGGGGGAACTCATGAGTTTCACAAAAAACTGGTGGTCAG